TTATTTTTCTGTACAATGATCCTGTTCACCTACCTGTGATTTTGAAATAAATGGCATAGTTTGATTTTTTTTCTTTTACAGACAGGCTAGCCTGAACGAAGCAGCTGAGAAGTACTATGACCTGGCAGCCAGGCTGAGGCCTAATGTAAGTACTTTCCTAATGTTCTTTCTGCATTATTCAGAGAGATGGACCCAAAGCATGTGACAGTTTCAGAATATAGAAGTGTTGTGATACCTGTTTTTTTCCCTCTCTGATCTCTTATTTTGAATACCTACCAAATACTTAATTCAGGAATAAAATCTGCCAGTCTCAAGCTTCCTTTTCTAGAGGTAAAAATTGCTGTTCTCTAGCCTGTATAAAGCACTATAAGATTTTATCATTTGAATAAAGGTTTAAGCATTACTAAATGCTTTCTATTTGGATGACTTTTTAAAAGTAATTCCTTGAAAGTTTTTTTGTTGTTGTTTTTTTTGCTATGGCATTAAACACCTATTATATTTTAATTCCCACATATGGTCAAACCTCAAGCTGTGAGCCTCGTTCCTATTCCACAGTCCTCATTTCTAATAACTGTGCTTTTCAACTTTATCAAGAGTATTTTCATCATAGTTTCTCCCTGGATAGTCACACTTCCATAAAGGAAGATAGATATAAATTAGATCCCTTCTATCAAAATAGAATAACTACTTGTGAGAAAATGAGAACTAGTTTTTGTCTCCATCTAAGCACATTTTATTCGCAATACATCGCTGAGTTCCAGCACATTGCTTTTATTCTTACACACACTCTACATCTCTCTCCAACGCTAAAATCTTCTATCCTATCCTCCAGATCAAGACCTTCTATTGGGAAATGTAATTTTGAAACAGTAATGAAAGTGCACATGTGGTATGAGTACAAATAATGAAATCAGTCTCATTTCTTTATAGTAACCCATCCGTTGGGCAAGCATCTATAGAGTGCCTGCTTTAGGATACAGAGATTTCGTACCCTAAAAGACCGCACAATGTAGCAGGGAAGACTGAATGTTATCAACTACACAGAGGTATATACAGTTCTCTGGGCACAAAAGAGGAAGATTAATGCCCCTGGAAAGAGGACTTACATGGGAAGTAGCTATTTTTTTTTTTTCAGAAGATTCAAACACCTGGAACCTTTACCTTAAATCTAAATGGCTCCCAGTCTCATTTATAGGGGAGAAAAAATATCTTTTCCTCACCCATCCTCAGGGCTCATGGCTGAGACCCCTGCAATAAAATACACATTAAGAGAAAAACATAGAAATTTAATTGATAAAAATTTTACCTGACAGTCTTCAGAAATGAAGACCCAAAGAAACAGGGAAAGCTGTGTATTTTTTAAGGACAGTCATGCAGAAGCATGATTGGAGAACAAAAGGTTATTATCTAATGGTAATAAATTAGGGCGAACTTAGCAAGTCCTGTTTGTTGAGATTCTTCTGTGTCTTCAGAGATAAGGATGTTAATGAGGGTCTTATTACCTACATCAGGGGAAAAGAGAAGTCAGAGAGTGACCTTCCCGCTTCCACAGTTTTCTCAGTTTTCTTCAGCTTGAAATACTAGGTGCGCCCAGGTGCCACGTTGGGGGTGGCTGTTCTGAATCCTGTCATGTTAACTATGAGGCGTCTCAAGAGTCAATAAGCTATTTGCCACAGAAGAAAATAATGTAATAATCGTAATGGTAAGAACAATGACACCTAAAAATGTATTAAGCATTAGTATGTGCCACATTAAGTACTTCATATGAATTCCCTCGTTTATTGCTCACAACTCACAGATACTTTTGTGATCCCCATTCTGCTGAATGTCAGAGAAAGTAATAACTCACCCGGCATCACAATTAAGTGGAATCACGTAACGCAGGCCACTGTGTGCCTAAGAGAAAGCTGGATGGGAAAAAATGCAGCCATCATCTTAGAAAGGAAATGCAAGCTAGAAATTTGGAAAACCAAAATAACAGTGGTCCTCTCATTTACTTACTCAGTATTTACTGAGTACCAGGCCCTACTGGAGGCGGTGCATATACAGCAGTGAACAAATGCATAAGGGTGCCTGCCTATTAGCTTATAATCTAGTCCGGGGAGAAGGAGCTTAAGCAAATAAGCGAATATAATATGTCAGACAGTGACGAGTGCTTTGGACAAAGCTGGAGTAGGACAAGCAGGTTAGGAAATGCAGCGCAGAAGAGGAAAGGGTGGTGTGCAGGAGGCATAGTTTTGTTAAATACCTGAGTTGGACAGCTTTGCGCAGTATTTTTAAAAGATCGAATTTGAAGTCTTACTGTTATAACTTCACTAAGGATAGAGATCAGGGTTTTTTCTTCTTTGTTCCCTTCACATTAATATGATGCTCTACATAAACATAATACAAGATAGTTAAATGCAACGTATATTTGTTGAGTACCAGTCACTTGAGGGTCCCTTTTATTTTTTGTTAAGTGGCTGGTCAAATGATCATCTTCGGCACATTAAATGGATTAGTGAGGAAAGAACTACCTGAGCTTATCTGACCTGACCTAAAAAATGCAACAGACACTCAGGCATCACAAGATTGGAGCCTGACTTGTGAGGTATTTATTTTAAAAGACTAGCCAAATCATAAAATCAATATTTAATCTCCAATTTGAAACCATTTTTTTTTTCTGAATCTCCAAAATGTTTCTTCACAATCCCACTGCAGACTACTTTTGAAAATGTGTTTATTCAAATGATCCTTGCCTCATGTGGTAACAGTAAATCAAATATTTTATGGACTGGATAGATATGAAGTTCATATTTAACAATAAGTAAATGATAACACAACTGATGGAGCAACAGATATGATCTTTTTCTAATCTGTTTCATGAATTGTGTTTTGATTTTTCAGTGCATGGTCTAGGTAAGTAGGATGCCACAGACACAAGAATGATAAAATACGAACCATGGCAATAATATAAATTCTGTTCCGAAACAAAGAGACTTATTTAAATGATAGCCCATGTAATGATTTATTAGTAATTATGCATCTGATCTGAATTAAAGCATTTATCTAACATTTGTCTTACTCTTAGCTGTTTATTCTCTTTGTTTATAAAACATTCTTTCTTATTTCTATGGTTTTAACTTAATAAATTTGTTACCTGCCTAAATGAGAGCAAACAGACCTCAATTCCAGTTTCCTATTTAAATAGTTCCATTGTCTTTTCTGTTTTTCTCATCTACACAGTAACATAATCTTACCCTTCTTTTTCATAAAGCATTTTTTTACTGTTCTTTAAATGTCCCTGCAGTTACAATCGGTATTTGTATGTGGGGCCAGAGGACTCTCTGAAGGTTTTAGCCTTGTGTCAGGTCATGACTATACAAAGTAAAATATGTGGCCGCAAACCTTGTGTACTACCACCTATTACCGTCATATCAAAGAGATTGTCGATTACCTGTGGGATATAGTTTTCTTAATAAAATACCTATTCTG